TCGATGTGCGTTCATTTGAAAAATCCCAATGCAGCTATTGTTTGAGCTTCCACTGCCTCACTTGCTTGATCCGTTAGAAGAGTCTGTGTCTTTCAAAGCATAGGAAGTTTACTACATAGTTCCATACATTTGCACACACTTTCCTTAACGTCGAACACCTTATACCCAAAATGCTTACCTCGATGCTTCATTTCCTGCCATTCTTATTCTTAACAATGTGCAGAATTGAATTGCAGTCTTTGGTGTTCTAAATATTATAACTGCGGTGATATCACCCACTGATGACTCAATCTGCTTTCAGGAAAATGACGAGAATGCCGAGAGACTTTTGGATAAAGCTATGGTATTATTCCGTTTTCTTCAAGAAAAGGATGTTTTTGAAAAGTAATGTTGCTTGCTGCGTAACCTTTACGTTTCATCCTCTTGACGTCATTGACGCAGATACTACAAACAACATATGGCAAGGCGTCTGCTGCTTGATAGGAGTATCTCTGATGATATGGAAAGAACAATGATCAGCAAACTCAAGGTCTATTTTGCAATTCATCTTTCTTACATGAAGAGCGTGTTTAGACAGAATGCGGTTGTCAGTTCACGCTCAAATTGGAAAACATGTTCCGCGACAAGGAGTTATGGGCTACACAAGCGACAGCTTTCAAAGAATATAGGGAAAATGCAAGTTTCTGCAAATTCTCACGATTGGCTTTCTTATCAAAATCGTGTTTTGAAGCGAAGACTGCATTCATTTTCTCTGATTCTGTTCCCAGAGAGTGAGAGCGAAAATTTTGTAAAATTTGCAGCGTTTCTCGTTATTTATATTGCTTTTATACAGAACAAGGTTCCTTTTCTCCAGATAATTTTTATTGTTAACCTTCTTTTTTTTTTCACAGCTAAAAAGTACGAGGGAATGAGATTCGCCGAATGGAATGACTGTTACGTCACTTAAATCCACTTAGTTGATTTTGTCTTGTAATCTGATTAATATTGATTATACTGTTTAATATCGTTTTTCTTTTTTTGCAAGGAGAAGAGATGATCGACATTTCGGTGCGCGTGCTGACTGCTGGAATTTGGCCTACCCAGAGTGTACCTGTATGCATACTACCTCGTGACTGCGAATATGCCTTTAATGTAAATCCTTATTTTTTTTAAGACTTGCTCTCATACGTGTACTGCATGTCAATAACTTTCAGAAGTTCAGCACTTTCTACACAAATAAACATAACGGCCGCAAGCTTACATTGAATACAATGTTGGGTACAGCCGAGGTGAAAGCTATTTTCTATGGGGAAAACGCCGCAGTTTACAAAGTTTGCATTTTATTGTTTCTTATTGTTTTTACTTCGTACTTTTGAGAATATGGACTTTCTGGA